GTTAGACATTTGGCCTGGTGGTTAAGATGCCTGCATCCTGTATCAGAGTGTCTGGATTTGAGTCCCGCCTCTGACCCTCGATTCCATCTTCCTGCTAATGCAGACCCTGGGAGGCAGCAGCTTCTGGCTCAAGTGGTTGGGTTTGTGGGTAGCCTGGAATGTGTTCCTAACTCTTGGCTTCAGCCTGGCTCAGCCCCAGTCATTGTAGAGGAGCTCTTTCTCTCTGTCTCTTAATTAGCAGCAATAATAAAAATCAGTAAAAATAGGTGAGTAATTTCCAAAGTTCCTTAGATGGATTCTGACTCCCTGTAACCCAGTGCAACCACCCACTAACAGAAGATAGGCCAGTTGTGATCCACTAGTTTTTCCTGGATGAACAACGTGTGTGTTTGTGTGTTGTGTGGAGGTGGGAATCAGGAAGTATAGGTGAAGCAGGCATCCAGCTGTTCATCTCCAGTGGTAACTATGTAGAATAAGAATAAGCTAATAGCTTCTGGAGAGGTTGAGGTACCTGCATTTCACACAGACTAGACCAGTAGTTCCCCAAAGGGACAAGACTACCCCAGGGGACGTTCTGCATATGGCAGGTGAAGGGGTAGTTTTCAGCAATGATTGGTTGGTGCTATTAGGCATTGAGCTCCCCAGAAGTACGGGTGCTGTGTTCTATTAGGCTTGCACAGCCCTGTACAATAAAGAACTGTCAAGCACCCGGACTCTCTTTTTAATGTCTTGCCACACATTCATGTGAGTCAAAGCTCTTTTTATAAATATTTGAGCTTAGAACCTAACTCTGTCTCCCATAAAAACACTAAGTAAACCCTTTCTGGACTGTTCCATCCCCCTGCTCCCTAAAGTGCTTAAAGGAAATCTGGGTCACCTCTGGGTACACACTGTGTATATGGTTCACTAACAGGTATTTGAAAAACCAGTTAGTCTTATAAATGAAATGAGCCTTTCAGGTTTTTAAAAAGGGAAGATCTGGTTTTGTGGTTCAGAAAGTATTTCCAGGCTTTCTAGAAATTTAGTTACAATCGGTAGGCCAGATTGAAAGTAAAATTTTTGAATCTGAAGCAAGGTCACAACAGGGCAGTAGGGCGCATCGTTACAACCCCACCGCTCTGCCCGTAACCAGGAAAGAACTGTTGGATGATTTCACCACTCAAGGAAACATGAAGGACACCCCCTGGCCAATGACTGGGTCTCCTCTGCTATGTAATGTCTCACAGGTTTAACAGCTGCTGCAGACATCAGCAGTAATGAGGTGGTGCCCATGCGTCTCTGTGATAGGAAGACTTTACAGGAAGCGCCGATGTGTGAATAATGGAATGCAATCATGCAAATCACCCTGCACAGGCATGTGTGAAGAAGGGCTCTGATGGCAAAGCTAAAATAGGTTGGCTACTTAGGGTGGCTTTGTTTCCCCATCTCTAGGGTGGACACATGGCTACTCTCTGTGACACATGCCCACTCTCTGTGACTCGCCCGAAAATAGCTGAATGACCACAGGTTGCCAGGCAGCTGGATTCTGATGTCATTCCCCCAAGTGCCATCGCCAAAACCCACTGGGAAACAAGCAGTGGCTCCCTGTCCCAGCAGTTTCCAGTTGACCATGACATTTAAGCAGCTGGTAAAGTCTTCCATAGACTTAGGTTCATTTTCTCAGAAGTCAGGTTTTGCATTTTGATCTTGATAAGAGAATGATCTTTGCAAGCTTTACGTCCATCATAAAAAAAAAAAAAGAACCTTGCGTCAGAGGCAGTGTTTTTTAACTTTACAAACAATATCAGATGCAGGCAGGTGACGTGTGTTGGTCACACTTAAACACCATTCTTTAAAAATCATACATCACAAGGACAAAAAAAAAAGTAAAGGTGGAAAAAGCCAGTGTGCCTGTGTGTAATTTTTATTGTGATAATACAGAAGGAAGTAAAATTTGAAGTTCTGATTAGACTAAGACCACAAAATAAAAATGTTGCCCTAAAAAAAAAAAAAAAAGGTTGAAATGGAGCATTATGTCTTCATTATGCCCTCTCCCGCCTGCGGTCGTTCTGCTTAGAAACGTGAAACTCCAGCTCATGCAAAGCCGTGTTCCTGGCAGCAGTCGCTCTCTCACTGGACTTAAGTGTCAGTGGAATGCTGCAACTTATTCCGAAATTGACGCTATACATGTAGAGCTGTGGAATCCTTTGGAAGCCAGGTTAGGTGTCCACTTGGGTTGGGGGTCTCAAAAATCTCAAGTTCCCCAGCGGTATTCGTCAGTTCAGCACCACTAGACTCCTTCCTCTGGTGACCCACCCCTGTCATCACAGCTCCCATTTCCTGCTCGTGTTCAGTATTCAGGAACAACTTCTGAAACATATCTACCTTTAGACATCCTGACTGTCGTCCCAGAGTGCCTACATGAGAGGCTGTATGAGGATTCTCAGATGTCGTAAGGGCAGCTAAATCTTTTTTTTTAAATGTCTGCTCTGTATTATAAAATATTCCAAATTACCAGTTTAACATGATCATTTAAATCTAACATTGTTTTCGGGTTGGCCATAAATATGTTACTGGAATCTCTGTAATTTTGAATGAACCACTTGGAAAAATATTATGTTAGATACAAGTAATTGTCTTTTTTAAATTTAAATACTATTTCTTGTCACTAGCCTTCCTCCTAATTATTAGCAATATATGAAATGCTATGTTTTTGGCATCTGGAGTTACACAGTGTGGGAAGGGTACCACTCCTTCCTGTCTCGGGCCTTGGGTATGACATGCTCTTCTGGATCGGGTAGGACGCACTGTTCCCCTATAGCAGATTGCATCGTAAACACAGTGGTCCCAGCTTCAGCCTTCAGTGGTGTGGTCTGCGGGAGAAGTAAGAAGGCTAACATCTAGGATTTTAAACAGTTTGGAGCAGCCCACTCCTCAGCAGTGAATGTAATTGTCCTTCCCTACCTGTGCCTCCTGCCAGCTCTTCTCTCCCCCTGCTGGCCAACGGCTCCCTGGTCGCCTGGCTGGCAGTTCCTCCCTCCCTAGGGCAGGGTTGGTCCCTGCACAGGTCGTTTCAGATTCTCGTGGTCCTAAATTATTTTCAGTATGCTAAAGAAAAGAAACTAAAAGAATGGTGTTTGTGTTTTCAGTAAGCAGAAATCTGCTTAACAACTTGATCTGTAAAATACTTTGGGCAAAAACATTGTTCTGTGATTGTGTACCCATTTCCTGATCTGTAAGTGCAATTTTCATTACTCTTCAGAGTCAGAATTAATGAGAGTCCTTTAATTCTCATGGGCTTCTTTTTAAAATTAATATTTATTATGACTTTTCAGACATCTAAAGGAGGACTTTTTAGACATACTTGAAGTCTAAAATATTATCACATTTCTGGTTCATAAATTAACCTAAGAAGTTGATGTTTCTTATATATTTCTTTTGTTCATATGGAAAAAAATACATTCATATTAATAACAGTTTGGTGTTTGTTATTAACAACATTCTGATGCTTGTGATGATAAAGGTAATGTGAAACCGTATTTGCAAATAGCGTAAGGTTGAGACTTTTATCTTTTCTGGGTCAAGTATTGAGTAAAGCAAGACTGAAATTTTCCATGGCACAAGGGATTTAATGAAATTTATTGACCAAGAATATCTTTGAATACTGCCTTTTTCTGCTATAGCTACTGCTTGTATTTTGTTATGGAAAACCTTTCTGAGTGAGAAATACAAAGATGTAGTGTGTGGGGATCACCAGCTTCATGAATTGTACTTTATCCTACCTTTTGAGAGAAGATCATCAAAACTTTTGGAAGTCAGAACAGTTTGATATTTATTGACGGTCACAAGTTGGTGGTACTGGATGCTACTCCTGGCCAAGCAAGTAGGAGTCACTTTTGAGTCATTATTAGTTGAACAGGTTTTTAAGATAGCAAATGTACCACCCCATGTAACTGTTGTAAGGTCTTGAGGAAAAAAGCTGAGAGACTTTATGTATGTATGCAAGTTTATGTAAATTCATACATGCACATATATGCATGCACACACACTTATACACACACATATTCTCTCTCCCTCTCTCCCCATCTCCCCACATCTCAGTTTCTATTCTTCTTCCTAACAAACACTTTGCCAGGTCTCCAAGATAAAGAAATTTAAGAGAGAGATTAGTTAGATTAGTTTTTGTTTATGTGCTTGATTGTTGAAAATGTGAATCTTGGAGTAATTGACCCTATACACACAGTAGGTTGGTACCAATTTTTTTTTTTTTTTTTTTTGACAGGCAGAGTGGACAGTGAGAGAGAGAGAGACAGAGAGAAAGGTCTTCCTTTGCCGTTGGTTCACCCTCCAATGGCCGCCGCGGCCGGCGCGCTGCGGTCAGCGCACCGCGTTGATCTGATGGCAGGAGCCAGGAGCCAGGTGCTTTTCCTGGTCTCCCATATGGGGTGCAGGGCCCAAGCACTTGGGCCATCCTCCACTGCACTCCCTGGCCACAGCAGAGAGCTGGCCTGGAAGAGGGGCAACCGGGACAGAATCCGGCGCCCCAACCGGGACTAGAACCTGGTGTGCCGGCGCCGCTAGGCAGAGGATTAGCCTAGTGAGCCGCGGCGCCGGCCCGGTACCAATTTAGTAAGTCAGCAGAGTGAGAGCAAAAAGTACTCTGCTAGTCTCCTTTTGATTACATTGGATCTTTTTGGTGTCTGCTGTGTGTTTTGCCTTGTGCCATCACACATGTCATCCTTTCTCAGACTGTGTCAGACCTCCCATGCTGTTAAGAATGCATGGGTGCAATGGGTGAACAGGTCATTCAGCCCAAGAAAAAACACTCCCGGTCACAGCATATAACCCACTGCTTATGAGGACAGCTGTGGTCAGGGTCCCAGGAAGTGTTCAGCCTCACAACTCACACAAATCCTCATTGAGATCCCCTCGACCTGCTTCATCCCTCAGAGTTTTCATTTGGGAAAGGTTCTCAGATCATTCATAACATATTTATCTTTTCTTTTTTCTCCTCCTTTAAGATCAAAAAATATTTTGAACTTGAACCACTTGCACGTGGGAAACGCTGGATTCTGCAGCCCTGCTCGCTGGATGACGTGGAGGCGCTGAAGGACAGCTTCTCTCAGTTGATAAATTTGTTAGAAGACAAAGACCACGAGGCTCTACGAATGTGAAACCCAGCAAAGAAAAGAGGTCCCCCAAAGGCCTGGAGCCTATCACGTTAGCTTCTCATTGGAATTTCATTTTGGTATCAAGACTATAATGGCTTCTGTCTCTATTTTTCTCTAGTTGTTTCAGACTTTCATCTCTCTTTTCAAGTGAATATTCTGTAAATCAGGTGAATCGTCCTCATCAGCATTAATGTCAAGTACACACTACTGAGAGAGAATTTATTCTCTGTTTACCACTAATTATCTTCGCCGCATGTCTCTTCCTTCTGTTCTAAGCGTCTCTTCTATCCTCTGTGCTAAAATGAATGGAATCATGGTTCGCAGAAATCAGACCCCTGTAAGAGACTCAACAACTCTCACTTTCCCAGGGAAAGGAGTGGAGTCTTGTATGACTGGGGCTTCATGTAATATGCATATCGCTTTTAAGCTCTCTTAAAGTTTTTATTTTATTTTATCGTATTTTGGTTTTTAGGGTTTTTTTTTTTATATTGATGTCAGGGACTATAAGAGAAAACTGAGCACCAAAAACTTCCATTAATCATCACAAAGGAATATCTGCCATAGTAAAATTAGCTTTGAAGAACATAAAGGACAAGATGTGTCCTTAATTACGTCTGGAGTCTCACTCTTCTCTCTTAACAGAAAAGACATGCTTTTACTTTTGGAGACAAATTTAGGCACAATGCATTTGATAAGTCCTGAAGTATTTTTTTACTGCATAAATTCAAGCCTCAACATGATATAAGTATCTTTTTCTAAAAATCAGTGTTTGATCAAAATAGAGAAAATAATTTTTAAAGTAATACAGTTTTTAAAACGGGCAAACCAAGTATGGCTTATACTGGTGAAGGTTTTAGGCCGGTGTGGATTTGATGAAGGGCCCAAAAGAATCATGTGTGTACTCATTCAGTAAGTATTAATGTAGTTGAATGGAGTCTGTTGCCTCCGTCTAGTCAGTAAGGGTCTATCAGTATTTCTATTATTAACCTCTATTTTCAGGGGTTCAATGTGCCCTTAAAAATGTGCTGGGACTGCAGCAAATAAGTCTTTTCTGGTCTCAGATGCAATCTTTGGAACTCATTTTTTGCCAATTAATTTAAATGGTAAAATGACCTAGAGATAAATGTACAGTTTTACTAAAATTTAGAGCTTTTGACCTTTTCTAGATCAGGAGTCATCTGTGGATCCTGAGATTCGTAGATGAAATATTTTTGGGCACATTTGTAGAGTTGTGGCCACAAACAATACCAAGTGGCCAAACCAGAGACAACCGCTCCCACACCTGAGCAATAAAACATGTTTGTAATTTCTCAGTTGCATCGACTGATACCCACCTACCACAGACTCATGCCGCATTACAAGCTGATGTCATACCTTTAATCCTTCAGAAGATATACTTGACATCATTGAAATACAGTTTTTGTGGTTTCATCTTGTAAGTGGATTTTAATGAAATCATTGCCTTTGAAACACCTAACACTTCTTTAAGCCTTTTTTTAATAGTGTGGATCAAAAGCAGATCCACAGTGATTCACACATAATTTCATCCTGAGCATCCTTGAGTATTTTTTAGCACTGCATAATCTGTGAGCAGAACAAAACTTCTATTCCAATGACCAGTGACACAATTCCTGATTTTGTTTTGTCCCGTTGTGCTCATCTTCCATGCAGAATCAGTGACGATTAGGTCTGGCTTCCCCTGCAAGTTCATTAAATGTAGGATGTTGTCTTTTTAAGAGACTGTGGCTAAGTGCTCCTAAGCCATCTGTTAAAGGACTTCCCGTTGTCTGTGTGTGTGTGTGTGTGTGTGTGTGTGTGTGTTCTCATGTGCGCGCCAGGGATGGGCTTCCCCTCAGACCCAGGATTGTCTGCAGCCGTCAGAATGAAAACATTATCAATCAGTACCCAACAACAGCTGTTTTTGACAAGTTTCTGTCTGACGCCTAATGCTTTACAACTGTCAATAAGACTCCTTCTTTGTCTAGCAGGTCGGAGCTCGCCTGCTTGCTGCTTCCGTGTGGCATCCTGTCCTTGTAACCCTAGAATTTGTCATGTTTTGGAAATCTACGGATGGGGGTGGGGGGTGGGGGATGGGGACAGGGGCCTGGATGGGTGCGGGTAGATGGGTGGGGGGGAGTGGGGGGGAGTGGCTGTCATCTTCCTACTTTCTCGAGTGAAGTGCCACAGGTGTCTTAGTTTGCATATTCAAATATTATATAGGAAAAACAGTCTGTTATGTATTTCTTCACTTAGCTTCTTGTTATATTTATGGAAGTTACCAGTTTTTGTACCTTCTTAGCTAAAGCAGTTGCCTTTTTTATAATGGCAATTAATTTATATAAAACTTTGTATCTACTGTAGTTTACAGTAATGGTTGCTAATTAACTGCCATATTGCCCTGTCTTTCTAATAAAAAGAAAATCTATTGTATCTATACTTAGAGGTTAACAGAGTCATGTGGACATTTGCCAGAGAAGAAGAATCCATACTGTCCCTGATTTGTATATGATTTCCACTATCTCCAAATGAAAATAAACACTGAGTAGAATGGATGTTTTCAGAGTGACTCCTTTCAGCTTCAGCATTTGGGAGACACAGATTTCTGTTTATATTTGTGTTGCCTGTTTAAGTCTTCAAAATAAGTTCTGCTGCTCTTGGGTCAAAACAAATGATTAATTCCCATCTCTTTTTGAAGCCATTGTGAAAGCCTTAAACCAAAAGTGTCTTTTTCCAGTTGATTTGTCCTCAGCAGCAACTCACTTTCTTTGGAGCCAGCAGGATGAGTGGACAGACCTGACATTAATATAGAGCAGTATCTTTCAAAGGATCACCGTCTAATACTTGCTATAAACCAAGTTTCTGAGAGTGGCACGGTTTGGTGCAGTGAACTGTTTCCTTCAGTGGTGAGCATACCCTTCGGCAATAAGTAGATATGTTTTCAGTGACTCAAGAGGAATTACTCTGCATTTCCAGGTCTATCCTTAAGGATAAGCATTCTCTTTAAAAGAGAAAGAAAGAAAAAGCAAATGATAGGTGGATGGAAGAAGAGAGGAGAAAAGGAAATCACAGCTCTCCTTTGGTCTCAAATGCAACTTTATCTTGACGCTTACTGACCAAAGAGTCCCCGGCTCTTAACCATCTCAGACCTCTCCTAGCAGAACGGGAAAATTTTGAAGCAGTGAGGGTGAGGTTGTCTTCATGTGCAGATTGCATATTCAGACTTGAATGGAAATCTAATATTCATCCCCCGACCCCAGCTCATCTTCTTGATGAGTTTAGAGTACGTTTTCATTAACCTCCTGACCCAGTGGCCCAAACAGAAATGAAAAGGTAGGTGCGGGGTGGTGGGGCTGGGAGTAGGAGTAGCCCTTGGGGATCCTTCATTTTCAGTGTGTTCGGAGGGGAAGAGACTGACTTTGTTATGCAAAAACCGTAGGCCACAGAGGCTCTGCCTTTCCTCCTTTCCCAGCCTGGCTCCCGGAGATCTGGAGTTCATGCTGTGAAATGGTATTAGCACGTCGTGTTGGGAATTCCTGGCTCCCAAGGGTTCACAACTTTTGGTCACCACAGAGTCAGTGTGATTAAAGATTTGCATCTCCGGGTTAAATGTTTTCCAGCTCCAATGCATGAAGTGACTGATGAGCCCAGGTCTTGGCACCCACCCCACCCCCCATACTAATTTGGGAACATGAAAAGGATCTCCTGGAAGGCTCAGAAGGCTCAGATGGGATATCAGTTTCCCCTCCCCTTCCCTATCCTCTTTGAATTAAAACCATAAATGAGACACTTCGCTTCCACCCACTGTTTCATCAAATCTGGGAATTCTGGCTTCCCATTCTCAGGAGTCAAATGGCTGTGACAACCTTTTCCCGCGTGGATTTCTGTGAAACCAAGGCAAAGAGTTAAAAAGTTGCAGACAAGGATCTTTCCAGCTGTGCTTCTTGCCCCGCACCCTCCTTTCCTTATAAAACGGAGTGAAGGAAAACGTCCGTGATGTTCCCGTCACAGTTTCTCCATGATCGCGTCAGCTCTTCCAGCTCTGCCCCAGGAAGCACTTCCTGTTCGCAAGGTCCTGTTTTGGAAAGGCCACTGCAGGACTCTTCGCCTTAAGCTGTGCTTTCCCTTTCGTGCTGTGCTCCCCGAGTGGCTGGATCACACATGGGCACGTCAGTGATGCTCACTGTTTCCCAGGGCATCACGTGGGCCTGGTGGTTTTCAAAGCACCATCACTCACCATATGTGTCTTAGGTCACTGGCACTCGGGAGGATAAGGAGAGAGACCCCCTAGACGGAATAGCTGGCCCGGCTCAGCCACGTTTATAACCCGGTCCAACTCATGTCCCCATCCCCACCCTCTTCTACTCCAGTTCTCTCTAAGAACCAATTGGGTACACTTTCTTAGAAAACACCATCTTCTGCAAACCATCCAGCAAGGCTAGACTCCTTTCTTTCCTCCCTTCTTTCTTTAGAAGAAGTCTCTTCCTCTTATGCTGCCCAAGTATGGAACCCAAATGTTTCAGCCTGGTTAGCCACAGCATTCCACCCACGGAGGTGGTCCCCGGAGAGGAAGGAAAGCCTGGCTCAGCCCATGGGGACAAATCAAAGTCAGCCTCCCTTGAATAAGCATCAGCTTCCCCGCTCTCCGCTCTCCCTCATTTCCCTGTCTCCTCCTGGGATAGGGGGCGGGCGGGGGGGGGGGGGGGAGGGTCTGTTCCAAAAGCCTAAGATCACTTACATCACAGGCAACCCTTCCCGAAGGTGTGAAATCCAGCCTGGAATGCCACAACCTTCCCTGACAAGTGATTCATTGAGACAAAGGCTGGAGCTCCAGCATCAAACAGATGTCAGACAAAACACCAAACGCCTATAAATGATTGCTTTGCAAGCAACGGAATGACTGGAAGACCTGGCCTAATGATGGACCCCATGTCTGGACAAGCTTACAGAAGACGTGGGGGTGGGGAGCTGGTTTTAAACAGTCTGTGGCGAAGGCTGTTTCTGGAGAGAGAAGGGAAACCACCATCCCTACCTGAGTGCCTCGTGTGGAGAGGGTTGCTGGCCGGTTTATGTATAATATATGTGAAGGTCAATCCGAAAAATGCGTGTCAGGGGCACCCCACAGGCCAGACTCGTGTGATATGATATTAAATCATTAGACATATAAATATCAGAGTAAATTAAAAATGGGAAGATTGTGTTGGAACGGAAACTGCTCACCTAAAGGCAGAGACAGAAATGCAAACAGTAAGTCTGGCTGTCATTCTCTGAAATCTGGAGCAAGTCAGGTTTGGCTCTGGACCTTCTCCAGTTGTTTTACAGCTTTCTCGACATGGGGTGTATCAACCCAACACTTTTATGAAGCAGCTGTGACAGGATTTTTGAAATGACAGCTTGTACAGAGACTGAAAGTGCCAGGGTCCTTTGTATGGGTTTTGTTTTGCAAGCAAGGCTTTTGACTTTTTATAATTTCAGGGTTTTAATTCATTCGTTCAACACATTTTTGGTTGAACACATACTTTGTACTAGACATTGTGTTAGATGCTAAGGTATACAGCAATAAACCTGACATTGATCCTACCTCTGTAGGATTTTATTTCCTGAAACATTGGTTAAGTTGGATTATTTCTCTGAACCTAGAGAATTGGGAGGGGGGGAGGTGCATCTTGTATTAAAATTGCAGTTTGAATCTCTAGGTTTTGAAAATCTAGACTTCTCTAGAATTTCAGCCCTAATCCCTCAGTGTGAGCCCTCCTAATTTAGAATTGTTTCTGAGTGTTCTTTGGTTTCTTTTGAAACCATTAATGAAACCAGAAATCTAAACACTTTACATAGAAAAGGCTTTGTCTCCTTTTTAGCATCTTTCTAAATAGAACTCTGTAAAGCTAGCACCTTTTATTCTGCTATTTTACTGCTATAATAACAAAGCATGTGTCTAGCACACAAAAGTGCTTCTAAAGTGCAAAACCAAACCCTGTCAATTGCCTACTGTGCTTTTCATCATGCCTATGTTCAAAGAGCTCTACCTCTTTCTCTAAAACAGCTTTGTCTCATCCTCCTGTCTGTCTGATCATCACACAAATGATCGATATTTGAAATGTTAAATGTTGAGTCTCCAAGAGGACACTTACTCTCCCCTGGCTGCTGTGTAGGGGCATGCCACAATTCACGTCCCCAGACAGGGGCAGTAGCCTGTAAGCTTGATAGCTCCCTGGATTTGTTTTGTTTGTTTGTTACCTAAACAGGTAGCAGTGAATTTCAACTGGTCAAGGGGCCATTTTGTTTTTTTCTCTCATTGAGGACTGGAAACTTGAGAGACCCCTTTAAACCTGTTAGCATTTCAAGATAGTACTTGGGTAAACTTATTCCTTTAGCAGGAGTCACTGCATTTTAAATTTTAAATAGTTTTGCAAAATCTGTACCAACATTTCATTGCACACCTCAAGTCCGTACCTTCTTCCCTCAATGCCTCCAAACCCCATGAGAGATGTGCCCCCTTAGAATGCTTCCACAGACCCCCTCACTGAGTACTAGCCAGGAAGACCAGGTCAGCTCACAAAAATTAACTGAAACACAAACCTCTGTTTCCATTTAGTTTCTTTCCTCCCTCCCTCCCTTTCGTTTTCTTTCTTTCTTTTAAAGATTTATGTATTTATTTGAAAGGCGGTGGTATAGAGAGGGAGAGAGACAGAATCTCCATCCATTGGGTCACTCCCCAAATGGCCACAAAGGCCAGGGCTGGGCCATGGCGAAGCCAGAAGCCGGGAGCTTCTTCTGGGTCTTCCACATGGGTGCAGGTGCCCAATCACCTGGGCAATCTTCTACTGCTTTCCCAGGCTCATTAGTAGGGAGCTGGATCAGAAGTGGAGCAGTCTGGACTTGAACCAGTGCCCATATAGGATGCTGGCACTGCAGGTGGCATCTTTACCTGCTATGCCACAGTGCAAGCCCCAATTTGTAACTGTCAAATTGCCCAAATTTTTACATAAAATAGAATTCATTGAAGTTATATAAAATCAGAGCTTAATTAAAATAAATGGTTTATAACTGGGTGTCTTCCCCTAATGGAATAATTGATCTGACAAACGCCCTTCAATGTCTGCTGACATCACAAAGAAAGAAGCAATCAGGTATTGTCTGCTTCAAGAAAGAAGTCGATACCACCTAGGAAGTGTTCTTGCCAAAGAAAGTGAACCTGCATCTGTCTGATCCATCGTCTTCCTCTAACGATCTGCAGAAGACACAGGAACAGAGGAGTGTGTAAAGTGACACATGGTGATGCAATAATCAAAATCCAGACTATTGTAAATTCAGTTGGACAAGTGAATTGGCTTCTTGAATAGAAAGAAAACAGAGGGAGGAAACCTATAAACCAAAAGAGATTTCAGAGTACCATCAAACACTTGCACAGATTGGGCCTTCCTTGGAGTGTGTCTCGAACTACTATAATGCAGGAGGTAAAAGTGGAGAAATTTAAACATTTATTAAGTAATTTGTCAATTAGTAAGTCTTTGATTACAAGTAGCTTTTAAGTGTGGTAGTAGAGTTGTGGTTG